CGACGAGGTTATCTTTGAAGGTAGGACTGTTTTTTTTCTCTCTCCGAGACGGCGTTGGTGCTGTAGAGCAGAGCCAGAACGGATCGGGGAAATATGAATAGAAACCAGCGTCACGGAGAAGCAGGGAGAGAGAAACGAAGGGGGCTTATGCCGGCTTCCTCCGAGCCGCAGGAGAGGAGATCACATGGAGATCTGCGGGCTTTAGTACAGTTCACCCCAGTACAGTCCACCAGAGCAAGACCGAGGCGGACAGCTCCGCCTTCACGAAGACCGCATGTTGCTGGCACGTCCTCTGGGCACATGTCCCTCCCGAGGCCAGCACGGGCAGTAACTGCCTGGATCAAAATTCAGGGAGTTGGCATCCCAGCCCTGCCCATCAATCTTCCACTCTCATGGCTCCTAACTTGGTCCTTACTTCTAAAACTGAGAAAACAACAGGCTGGAGCCATCTCTTGGCAAATAATTCGCCAAATTTCTAGTATGAAGCAGAATTAGGGAGGAGAGAGTGTTGAGCGTGGATCCCAACATGGACGACGTTAGACTTGGAATTGGGGAAGGGTAACGACAAGACAGTGTCACTGAGTTCTTCCATGTGGGGTGCCTGCCAAGGTCAGGCCCGCGGCAGCTCTATAAATATCCCCGTTGGCCATCTGAGAGCTGCCTGAGGGTTCACTGTCTGTCACCGACCCATTCTGGTTCCGGCCAACTCCTTCTGCAGATAACAGTGGCTAACGATTCACTAAACAGACAGCAATCCATAATCCTCATGAACTCTGCTGGCCTCTCATCAGTTATGTGAATGTACAGAGATGAGCCGTCTAATTTTTAAAATATCTTATGCAACAGTTAGTTGGTACGACACATGGAGTCTTAGAATGTGAGATGAAAGGCCACCTCCTCACACCTACAGGCAAATCACAGCATTTTTCAGAGCTGAAGGAATTCGTCAAGATCTCTACAACCAACAGAGATAAAAGAAAGGTCCGTTATCCAGTCTAATCATTCCACTGGAAAACAAAACGAGATGCTTCAGATTGCTGTTGGCGACCTCCAAGTGGGAGTGACACGCCTTCTGTCTACTTGGTAAAGAGAGTTGTCCTTTAGGCCAAGCCAGACCTCCTCACTCACATTTCCCTTTCACCCTGTCCCAAAATCAGCATTCTTTGATTTTCCGGTCAACATACATGAGTGCAAGCAGAGGTCGTGTCTGTGAACATGGCGTCCAGAACCTATCGCGTGATTCGCCAGCAACACTTCCTCATTAGGGGTCCCCTGAACTTAATGGAAGGAACCAATGAAATGCACACCTACTATTTTAGTAGTTCTGAGTATAGTTGGGGGGGATCGTCTGCTTACTCCCCTTATGTGTGCCTTTCCTGTTATTTCAAAGGACTAAGAGATGCTAAAACCTATCAAGCAACCGCCATGTAACTCTCACAATCCCATCTACCCAGTCTCCAAGCGTTTGTCGCCACTGTAATTTCACAGAGGAAGAAACAGGTTGAACAGGTTAAGTGTCCATGTCGTGGGACTCTTAAGAAATCAGTGTCAAACCCAGGTTTTCCTGGCTCGAAGCCCATGTTTTATCTTCCAGAGAACATCACAGCTAAGTAATTATCGCTTTCGTTCTGTAGGAAAGGGGCTCAGAGAGGTGAAATAAAAGCCTGTGCTCTTTGGACGTGTGATAGGAGGTGTAGCATCTCGATTAGTAGGAACCGTCTCCATGTGGAAAGTCCAATAACATACACGTTGGAGTGAGACTCTCAGCCCGCATGACCTGTCTGCATGAAGTCGAGCAACTACATCATTCTTCTAAGTTTTCGTTCTCTTTTTGTTGGCCATAAAGTGGTAAGTCTAAATACAGGATAGTGAGGATGATCAGAAATCCTCCAAATCAGGAGACGGTAAATAAGCACCAGCCCATGTGCTAGCTACAGACGATGCTGAGAAGCCTTGTGAGATGCCATCAGGTAAATCATGATCAACGTGCAACCCCGGGGACATAGCAGGGAGCTCTGTGACGGGAGGGCCGGTCTTGACAGGTGTTAACCCACCGCACTGTGCTGTGCATGTGATGAGGATTGAATAAAGTCTGCCCTCTCTTGCCATAGGCCTTCTTCCCCTTGCTGTACTAGTCGAGAGGCCTGGAGTGCTAGAATGTGCAGTCCCCAAGGGAAAACAATATTGACATCTAACTTTAGGAACAGCCTCCAGGGTGAGGAGGAGATGAAGAAGAAACTTCACACCACTACAGCATGCAGCACATGAGGCTCCTCGTGGTTTATCTTTTGGGGACCGCATCTGTTCTCCACTTTCCAACAGCACCCCCACATGGCCTCCAGGAGCCCCAGCCCAGAGAGCCACAACTGAGTCACTTACCACTAGTGGCAAACACACGCAGAGCCCAGAGACAGTGGAGGAGGTTCTGGCTGTGAGACAGGTTTTTCCTGGCCAGAATCAATGTCACATCAAGGGCTTCCAACTCCAGGGCCTTCTTTCCAAACTTTTTATCTGCGGACACAAATCAACCCATCTCAGCTGTGCTGCCCGTTCGTGATGAGGGCTGGACGGAGTGTGGGGGAGAGAGGAAGGCAGAGTGGACGGTGGGAAGGAGATAATCAGGTAAATCGTGATCAACGTGAGCCAATGAGATGTCTTAGATCTTATAGCAAATGCTACTATGTATGTCCCCACTGGAACCAGATGGCTCAGAAGAGCTAATTCGGGGTGCACATATGGTCCTTTATTCTTCAAATAAATAATATTTATATGAAGACTGGTGGGTTGTTTGACTCGCAGCCCCTTAGGTGTAAGAATATTTCTGGTTGTCCTCAAACGTGAACTAGTCTAGTAGGGCAAAAACTTCTAAGGATGCTTAAGTTATGTAACATTGAAAGGCAATACAGGGACCTAGATTGGATGCTTCTTTGAATGTGTCCATAAAAATTATGTTGGGAACATTGGGAGAAACCGAAATGAGTCTACATTATGCACTCATTGTTATTTTGTTAGATTTGTAATCGCAGCGTTGTGGCTATGAAGGAAAACATCCCTTTTCAAAGAAATGCACTCAAAAGTATTTAGGAGCAAAATGCTATCTGTAGCTTTCTTTAAAATATTTCAAATAAAAATAAATAGGTGAAGAAAATATGTCAAAATGTTGGCAGTTAGATCTAAGAGATAGGTACATGAGGTCATCTTTCTATGTGACAGAGAACTTTATGATAAAGAGTGAAAACAACTAAGAAAATAAAAATTTCCCCCAAATTTCTCTAAATTGTTGATCCAAATAACCTGACATTTAGTGTTGCAGGTAAACTGTTATGATTTCAATAATTAGTCAATAAGAATAACAATAAGGGGAAAGTACCATTTATTCTGTGTGCCTGGCTCCCACTGTGATAACAGGGGACCATGCCACCTGTTGCATTTATTTGTGCCCTTTCCAAAGTGTGATGTACAAACTGTCATGTTTGTTTTTGCAGAAATATAGTCACTATCAGAGTCTTCACAGGTGGAAATGAGTACATCAGAGGCCATATCCTAAACCTGGTTTACCAACATTTACCTTTGGATCAAAGGACATTAACATAGAGATTGAGACTAAATTCACATGACCCACCCCCTTCAGAAGAAAGATAGCTGACTGGCTCCATTAGCAGACAACCTCATTTCTGTTCCGTTCAGGTCAGCCCCTGGCAACTTGAATGTGAAGGTGAAGGACTACAATCTCTCGATGACAGAAGTTGTGTTGACGTAACTATGACGAGAGTAATATCTAGGTGTATAACCTGAAAACCACTGACCTGATAACGTCTTTCATCTCTGTCCCATGAAACTCACGTGATTCTTGTTTGTCGTGCCTCTTGACCCACATGCTAAACACATGACACATGAAACCTCACGTAAACCTCACAGCAACCCCAGAATTAAGTACTGAGACCCTTCTCATTTTGTAGACAAGGGCCCAGTGGCTCAGAAAGTTTAAGGAACTTGCCCAAGGTCAAGCAGCAGATCAGTGCCAGGGCCAGGTGTGAAACCCAGATCTGACTTCCTAGCTTGCGTTATTGATGACAAGGGTCTCTACCATGTCCCTTGCGCCTTTTGCTAGAGCTCCCTTGTCCCACGCTTTGCTTTGTTGACTTCTTACCCTTCGAGTTTGGGCACAGATGTCACCTCTCCCTGACCACACCTGTCATTGGCAAATTATCACAATCTGCTCTCCTCTAGTGAATTACTTGTTTACTTTCTGCCCTTTCCTACTTAAATGCAAGCTCCACGAGAGAGGATCCTTTATCTGCCTTGGTCGCCATGGAATTCTCAGGGCCTAGAACAGTGCCCAGCCTGGGGAGACATGCTGTAAAGACCTGCTGACTAACGAATGAATTTTACTGGTTTTGTCTGGAACTCGCTCATGCAGGTGCTGGGTGACACCTTGGTCTCGGTTTTTTGTGTTTTGTTTGTGTGTGTGTGTGTGGAATGTTAAGTGGACACGAAGCAGAGACCCAAACATTGCAAAGAAAGTGTGCTCCAGAGCCCCCGTGCTCTCGGCTGCCACTGCTGGCACTGGACGTCAAAGGTCCATCTGTCAGAGGCCCCAAGCTTCTCGACTGTGACCTGTGTGACTCTGCACACAAATGGAGTTCAACTGTTATGACTGATTTGCAATGTGTGCAGGCTTCCTGAGTGCCCAGGCTTCTAAAACCATGCTCCGAGAAGTTCCAGAAATTTAGGAAGCTGTTTCACGGAGAAAGAGAAATGGGTGTGAAGCCTAAGAGGGAAGAATTGGAGGCCCCCGTGTTCCCTTTGCCTCGGGAAGCCCCGCTTCTATGTGACTTACGGTTTGGGCTGAAAACGGTCTCCAAAAAACATGCATGTCTACCTGCAACCTCAGAATGCTAACTTACTTGGAAATAGAGTCTTTGCAGATTTCATTAGTTAAGATGAGGTCATACAGGTTTGGGTGGGTGGGTGCTAAATTCGATATGACCAATGTCCTTGTGAGAAGGAGAGGACACGAGGAAAGACACACAGAGTAGAATACCATGCGTAGGCACAGGCAGAAATCAAAGCAGTGTGTCTACCAGCAAGAAACGTCAGGGGGTTGCTGGAAACCGCCAGAATTTGGGAGACGGGCACGGAACAGATTCTCCCTTGGAGCCTCCAGGAAGAACCAAGCCTGCCAACACCTTGATTTTGGACTTCAGACCTCCAGAACTGTGAAAGGATAAATGTGTTTTGAGCCACTCACTTTGCGGTGATTTATTACGGCGGCCACAGAAACTCATGCACGTACACGATGAACTGCCGTGTAAGATGATATTTGTAGAAATGTTCCTTTTATTTTTAAAGTGATAAAAAAACTGCCTTGGAGTGTCTCCTCGGTGTCCTCGATATGACCCATGCCCTATCCTAGGCTCTGTACCTTGGATTAGCTGACAACAGGACAACAAAGTGACCTCTCCTATGGTCCTGCCATTGCCACCCAAGTGTCCATAACCTCCCTGCCCTTCCCCCACACAAGCTCCCCAAGTTATTCTCATAACCACCACAACAGAAGGGCCTTTCGGTCACCCTCAGGTCTGGGGGTGCGGGTACCTCGTAGGCCAACTTTGGCCAGCAGTCGGAAAAGGGGCAGGAGGACGTCATAGTCTGGAGAAGCTGACCTTGCTGCGCCCACCAGCGTCTGCAAAAGGGCTTCGCTGCCACCCTTGCTGATCATGTAGCGAATCCTCCTGTCTGTGCCTGAGGGGCAAAAAGCAGAGGAGAGCCGAGCCACGAAAAATCACCCTCATCGTCCTGGAGCAGGAAGACAACCTCGCAGCTAGAGACAGAGCAAGGACTGGTTCACTGCACCCCAGAAACCGTACCGGGGAGCTCCTGAACTAATGTGTGTTCAAGTTGTGCTCTCAAGTAAGGGGCCAGCACGGTGGCGAGAAGGGGGTATGGCATGAAACGGAGAAAGGATGGCATATGTAAGAACCTGGGGGCCTTCACCTGCGAGATCTGTCATAAATGGAGCCTGGAATCCGCTTTCCTGAAGAATTATCGAGTCTTCAGCGTCTGCGTGTGTACTTGTGTATGCGTGTATATAAGTATGCGTACGGGCCTATGGATGATCATATACTTAACAGGAGAGGGACCATAACATGGCTCTGCTACAGGTCTGATCATGTGTAAAAGGGACTGGGATTAATAGCTTATCGGGAATAATATTATCAATGGTGTAATGATTTTTTTTCAGTAACGAATGGGAGGCAAATATAGAAACAACTGGAGTAATCCTTTGAGAAACAAATGCCCCATCATTTTATCTAGAAAGTTTAGAAGAGGGTCTGGGGCTAGGATGAAGAATGCCGATCTTTTTAAGTAAAAATAATTTTGAACAGGGACACCACCCCCCACACACACCTTGCCCCAGGAGAAGGTCAAAAGCAATGATTACATTTCAGCTTAGAAGGGGCCCTGGGTGATTCTCTATGTACTGGGCGTGGTTGACCTAATCGAGGTGACCGACCGGGTGGGACATTATCAGCAAAGAAGACCCTCTCGTGTTCACCCTAATGAGAAGTAGCTTCCTGTGCTGATGGAGCCGAGGACTCAGCACCTACGTCAGAAGGACACAGGGTTTCATCTAAGAGTTCCGGACGCCTCTGGACAAATGAAAGGCAGTGCTATCCTGCGGCTTCACCCACAGAGGTCACCTCGCTCAGGAGACTGCGGGGAAGTCACCCCGCCACCGAAGGGCAGCACTGTCTACAGAAGGTCCTTGGTATCACTTGAAACTGCAGCCTGAGGCTCTGTGGCTTTGGCGTGTTGTTCGTTGGGGTCCTGGCCATTCGATGTTACTATATCTTTCTCATGCACTGTGGGACTGGCGGACATAGAAATGAAAACTGGCCGAATGTTGGAAGGTCCAAAACTCTTGTGTTTTCCAGGCTCCTCGCGTGGACATGAACGAACAGAGGCGTGCCCCGGTTAACTCGGTTCATTCCAGTGACGTCAACTCCGCCATCTTACCTCTGAAAGCTTAACGGCCTACCAGGTCCAGCCTCACGTTCCTGTGTCCACCAGACACGCATAAGCGGGGGCTGCCCTTACCCGGCTCTCTAAATGGGCCGCGGTGAGGGAAGCAGAGTGAGGAGGAGCATAGGGGTGCGGAGGACAGACAGCTCCTACCACCCAGAGTCTCACTTCTTCCTACGCTGGGGTCACTGGAGGGTGGGTGACAAGAATGAAGAGCCCAAAGGCCCATCAGCCCCGTTGACTCTGG